CTTCCTTCCTTCCTTCCTTCCTTCCTTCCTTCCTTCCTTCCTTCCTTTCCATCATCCTTCATTGTTTGTGTAATTGGAGAGAATAAGCACAATGGTCCTTTTGAGGTGTGGTCTTTATTGCTCTTTTAGCTGACTAGGTAGAATATTGCTACGTATTACAATTTAGAAAATCACTTATATACACAGGTCTTTCACAAATATCAATTCTAAAAGTTCTTCTGTAATTGTGTGGGACAGATTTGTTTAAAATTACACATTCTGCAGCCAAGTTAAGGGCGTTGGTGAAAGTTATAGCAGACCAAGATGGGTTAGAAGAATTTTTGCAGCAGCAAAAAAAGGATTTCTCATCAAACTCTATTCATACAGCATACCTCTGACTTCAAATTTCATTGGATATTAGAAGATGGTGTACTACTCACTATCTTTCATACCCCTTTTTGGCAAATATGGAACCTGTTTCAAACAACATATGCTTTCCAGTGAAAACAGATATTCTTGGATATTTAACTTTAACATTCAAAACTCAGATTAAATGAAAATTGACAAGTTTACCATGGATTACCAGTGAAAAATTCATCAACTCTCAAATCCCAAGTCCCAAATCCTTGTTATCTGCTACTCCTTTGTGATAAATAATCATATCTCTGAAAGCTTTGTCACCAGAGAATTTTCAACTTTAGCAGCACAGATAAAAGCTCTGGATGCATAAGAAACCAGTAATGTGCTCTACCTCTTTGAATCAGAAATGCGTTCATACTTTTTTATTAAGATAAAAACTCATGCTAAATTTTCCTTTATGGGAATTTGCTAGAAGAAAAACATTGCAAGTTGGACATCTGTTGGACTGTACAACTATTTAATTCCCAAGCCTCTGCCTCTCCCATTTTCTCCTGTCTTACTTTCCTACACTTCCACATAGTGCACTACAAAGGCTAAGAAAGTTCTGAGAAAACTTATACACAGAAATTCAACAGTATGCCCCAAGGGGGCAGTTTATTTGGACATACACCCTCCAGTTTTACCTCCAATGCATACTTGTTTTTCTTCTCTTTTTCTGTGCTAAGAGTAGATGCTGATTTTCATCATTTCTCTCCACATGTTATACTTGCTCCACTTTTTAAACCTCAAGTGCTCTTCAGCAGATGTGAGAGCCTCAGGCTCTCTTGGCCTCTGAGCCATAGAGAAATTCTAATTATACAAAATCAGATGTTAAGAATCAACAACAGGCATTGGAGGATGGAGGTGTATTTCTAACAACAAGTACTAAAGTTGTAAGGATGTCTAATTGAATTGCTAAAATCCTGCAAAGGAGGGCTAGTACAATAAAGTTCTCTCCAAATATGTCTTTCTGCTCCTAGTGTTGCTCTTTTTAAAACCCGTTCGCATTTTCCTGGCAGCAGTTCTATCCTCTAACTCTATTACTGCAGTTTCTCTTCAGCAGTTACTCAGATTATGTGGTTTGATTAAAATTCTTTGCTAAGCTCTTGAGTTTTCAGCCATGAAGAGTTATTGAGAGAATGAGAAACTTCTGCAGTCTCCAACGAAGTGTCCTGTGTCTCATCTTGATTAAGGAGTGAGCAATGCAGATTCCTTATTCTAAATAATGCGCTTCAATACCTGAACTGTCTTTAGTCAAGGGCCATACTGAAAACAAACGTACGCTGCTCCCATTGTCTACAGGCTATGCTTACAGTATCGCAGCATTAGGTACAGTGATTCCTTCTAGTACTGACCAATGTTCTGACATATGTTGTGGATATCTGTTGATTCCATGAGTGTTTCCATCATGCCAAATTCCCAACAAAAGACTGAGATTGATATAAAGATATTCAGACTCCAAAAGTGAAGTCTACAGAAAATCTCATGAAAATTACTTTTATTATTACAGTAAACCAAATTCATTTACTGAATAGCTTTTCCTTTTGTTTAACACAATTTGAAATGGTACTGGCTTTATCCCTTGAAAATTTAACAACTTTGAATTTCTAAGACTTGTTTAAAATAATTTCTGGAGAGAACAGTCATTATTTTGCTCTGTGAATGTTTTTACGTATGGGTACATACCCAAAGGACAAATATGCACATGAACCAATTTTTTTTCATAATTGAAAATGGATTTAGTTTGAGCTTCAGGTTAATATTAAGGTCATTTCTCATTTTAGTTAAACAGCTTATTTTCACTAATCAAACACCGATCTTTGCCTGAGCCAAAGCCTAATCTGAATATGAGCTTTTTCCTCAGTAAGAGTAACTTCCCAGAGAGTCTTTCTTTTCTACAATTATTTGTTATGGATTGAGAAGGAACTGCAGTTCATTGGCATTCTCCTGCATTCATGATCACAACTTTATACAAATCTCAATTAGTTACAGGCAGTACAGTTTAAAACTAAACAATGGTTACAGTGAAAGTTTAAACTAAACCTTCAATGTATATAGACAGTACTCTTGTTTCAAAAGTGAAAAGATGTGGGGAAAAGCACAGGAACTGACGTGTCTAGAAACTTCATAATTGTACTGGAAGTGTTATTATCTTCTCAGAATCTAGTGGAAAGCAACAAGATGAGGAATTGCAGAATAATTGCAGAATATTATATTAAATACATCAAGACCAGGGGAGCAGTTTTCAACATATTGCTTGTCTGAGGTGATGGTGGTACTTCTAAAATCAGTTTCAGGGCAGGTTTCTCTTCTCTTTGGGATAAGAGATCCAGAGGGAAAAGGATGCCTTAAGGAACAAAATAGCCTTTAAAATACCTTTAAGATCTGCAAGACAAAATCATCAGCTAATATAAAGCAGCATAATTTCTTTCTGGCTTTAATCCCAATACAGTTCCTGAGCAACAATGGTTTAGGTTGCAAGAAACTCTGGAGATCATGTTGTCCAACTCCCTACTCAAGGATAGGATAGAATAGGTTGTCCAGGAACATGTCCAGACATGTTTGAATATCTCCAATGTTGATATTTACACTTCTCCACAACTTCTCTGGACAACCTGTTCCATTTCTTCCATTGCTTTCACCTCGTAAAGAGTTTATGAACTACACAGAAGTGGAAGAAACTAAAAATGTAACCATACATAATATATCTTTTGCAAGTAAGTAAGGGATAAAGTTATATAGAGAAAGATTTTTCCTGTTCACCATGAAATCTCTGCAGGACTGTTGATGAAAACAGAAGGGAGATGATTACTGTACACTAATTTACGTGATCACTCGCAGACAAGTTGCATTTCAGTTCTTGCACTTGGAGTCTCCTAGAGGACTTTCTGTGGCCGGAAGGCTGGCATAAAAGACATATGTTGTTTGTACTTTCTCCTTGAAGTGGAGAAGGAAGGTGACAGATGCAAAATCCCATTGCAGCTAATTTGCACTGAGGGATTCCCCTGGGACATGAGAAGCAAGGACACGTTTTTTCACTGGTGGTGTGAAGTGAGAAAGGAAAACGTATGAAGTTGATGAAAGAGTACAGCTTTGAATATCATTTTAAACTTGAATGTAACACTCCTATCATAATTGGACTTCCTCTTTGTATCTCTTATGTCTTTACTCCTGATTATGGGAGCAACATTTAATTTCCCAGAATGTTTACTTCAAAATCAAAACGCATCTCAGAACATTTTGTCAGTCAAAATCAAGTAGAGCAAAGGAACCAGATGTTGCAAGAAAAAAATTCACAACACATTTAGGGATTTTTTAGCTACTGTTGCCATTGCACACTGATATTCTTCATTGCAGCTTTTCTTCAGTTGAGAGCACAGGGACAGAGATTTTAATTTCCACTGCATATTATT